GACATACGTAGCATAGATATAACCACCCCTCCGAACAATCCTGCACACCCAAAAAGCCACGCGCTCTACGCACCAAAATATGGTCCATAAATGAAGCGCCAACCGCAATGGCTAAAAAATAAAGTACACAAAGAGGCCCTCATAAAAGGGAGCACGGCTAAAAATTGGCAACATTATCAGGCTGACCAAACACGCACACACACACACACACATACACAAAGACACACATAATGACAAGGATAATGTGTGAGCAGTCAGATGCGAGTTGGGAAATAAAAATAAATGTGCTAAATGGATAATAAAATACAAAGAGTGACAGTCATAATGGCCACTCAGACACTCGACAACCGACCAAATAAAATTGCACACAAAAAAAAAAAACAAGCGCTGCGTATTGTCCTCTACGCTTAAAAAACAGCGTAATTTAACTGGTGTGGCCATTGTACTTAATTGAACTGTCAGCCAAAATAGATAAACATAATAGTCCACTGCAAAATGGCAAAAAAGAAAAAAAAGTAATGAAGAAGAAAACAGCAATGGACACTAACTATTTTTTATTGCATGTGACATTTTGGCAAGCTCAGCCAGTTGCACAGTGGGCGATTTAGCCAGACGAAGCTGTACTTGTTGACCTTCGAAATCTAACAAAATTGAATAACTGTATCATAATTTCCCAATATCGCTACATTAAAATTGTTTTGCCGCGTTTTAAAAAAGTATGAAAAGTTGCTGGAACGTGTTTCATAATTTGTTGCTATTTGAAACTATACAGTTTTTCATACAGCTAGAAATTATTCTTATGATATTGAAAGTTAAAGGTATTTAATTAAATAATGTGTCATGACCTGTCATGACCATAAGCGTTATGGTATTAAATTGTGGTAAATATCAATAACAACGTTAACTCTTTTTTGTGACCGAATTGAACTTCTGTAAAGGCATGTGAATGGATTGCGTTAATTAGTTAATATTTTGGGCACCATGTAAAGTTTCAGAAATGTCAAACTCAAAGGCTATTTACTGGCTTAAGTACAAAAATATATCAAAGTAAAAACAATTTAAAAATAAAATGATTTCAAATTAAAGAAAATTATGTAGTTCAGTCTGTTTTTTATTCAGTTGAAGCAAACTTTAATGTTCTTTAACTAATCAATTTCGTTCCGCTAATCAGCTAACTCGCCCACTGTGAATTGGCTGAGATTTTCAGTCCCTTTGTCCGGGTCAACGTTGTTGCCGTCTGGCTCTATATCCAAATATATATAAACGTATATATATATATACACATATATAAATGTATGTATATACAAATAAAACAATAGCTAACTTTGCGCTAAGCTGCTGCACTTCATGCCCAAAAAAGCTGCAATTAAAATAAGTACCTCGCCGTTTGGCTGCCATCGTCGTTGGCTTGGCGCTGCGGGAATATGAATGTATATGTATATATATATATATATATATATGTATATAGTAACAGCAACACCCAAAAAAGTAACAAAAAGTTCTTACACATGCACACAGCTATTTGGATATAAATATGTGTATATGGTATATAAGCACATTGTGTTCGCAAGCTAATTAAGAAATTACTGCAGGCAAAACAGGGCCCATATAGCCATATAGCCTGTGCCAGCTCCAGCTCCCTGGCTCCGCTCAAACCGCGTTGCCACCTCCGCCATTACCGAAAAGCCATTCAATATAAGTATGCATGAGAACGAAAAATGATATTAACAAAAAAAGCAAGGCCAATCCGAAACGCTTACGGATAAGCCGAAGTCTCAGTCAGCTGCACTGTGAGGAATCAGCAAGCGAGAAGCACAGGAAAATGTTCATTGATTTTATTATGTTCTTTTAAATAAATGTTTTATATAATTTTTTATTTTACCAGCTATTGACTGAGTTTCAGTTTTTTTAATTCCATAAGTTTGTACAACTCTTCCGATATTTTTTAATATTGATAGAAGACAACATTCTAGTGCTGTCTATGTTTATTTTCTTTGAAATCAGCAAGGTTTTTCATATATTATTATCAAAATCTCTATTTAAACTCATATGCTGTTCTGTAAGGAAGTCGCCCTACAAAAAGGAAGCTCACATAATCCAGCCCCAGACACACGTCGACTCCCACTCAGACAATTCACTTTACATATGAGCAAATGTGATCCAAAACAACCAAAAAAAAATGTGGAAAAAAAACAAAAACTGAAATTATGAAAAGCAGTCAAAAAGCAAGCATTCAAAGTGCCCTCCAACTCAACAGGCAATTTTCATAATTTCTCTACAATTTTCAGCCATTTTATAAAATGAATTGAAATTTTTGTTCGTTTTTTTGGGACCGCATTTCCTTCGACAAACAAAATAATACAAGGAACAAGCAAGAGCGCTCTAGTCGGGGATGCTCGCCTAGGAAATACCCTGGACCGTTGTCCACCAAAAACCCAAGTAGACGTGCCGGGGCAAGCAATCAATGATTTGAAACAAACCTGACCTTTTTATCCATTTAAAATGGGTTGAGGGTATAATTAATAATAGAGCATCGATTACATCAACAGTTGTTTCGCATAAATTCATGTTTAGTTGATTTAATTTTAAAATGCAAAATTTTTAATGTTCATTGATACATGCATACTCAGATAGATAAACATTAACCGAAACGTTTTATCTAATTATTGGATATAACGATAAATCTGGAATTGACAAAAAAAAAACAATAATTATTCCTTCTCTGAAGTCTGAACCCGCCTCCTATTACCAGAACGAACTGCTCATCATCGCCTCAGATCTATTATTACTATTATACTACTACTTCTATCTGTTAAAAAATTGCAATTAAAATAGCAGAACACATATAGCAAGTGGTCTGCAAATATGAGTACATGTTTTCTTTAATAATTTATTTGTTTTGTTAACCGAACTTGATAAAGTTTCTGCAGTAGATCTTATTGCCTAGATTCGTGAAAAGGCAACATCCTGCTATTTATTTATTTGATTGTGCACAAAAGGGAAGCATATCTAAAAAATTAAAAATATTTAAGGAAAGTTTATACATGCTACATATCACATTTGGTGACTGTGTCTTTGATAACCTAATAGATATACTCAAAAGTTTTTTGAGTCAAAACCCACGATTGCTATATCGAGTTTTATCGACTACGAGGCAACGGGGCTAGAAATAGTCGATGCTATTATAAGTTCAAAAATCGATGTGTTTATACAGATGGACGGACATATAGAAGTGCATGGCTAAGTCCATATGGCTGTTAATGCTCACCTTGAATATACATATATACTTTATTAAGATCGAGCCCTTCTGCCTGTTACATGCACTTGAAAAAAACCATTAAACTCTATTTACCCATTTTCAGGGTATAAAAAGCCAAAAAAGAAAATAAGAAAACCCAAAGTCAAATCCATTCATGCGCTTAAATAAAATGCTCAAGCACTTGACTGCACCCATACAAAAATCTGTTGGGCATAGTCGAAAAAATGAAATGAAATAAAAAATATGTGAGTACAACTCAAGTAGCTATGGGAAGAGTATCCCACATAAAAGGTAGTGTAATTTGTTCTGATGGCTTCTATATATACCAAATACCAAATAGAGAAAGTAGCCTTTATTCGCATAACAAATGAGACTAAGCTATTGTTGGCATTTGCTTGCATTCTTGGCTAACAAATTAACTTTTTGGATGCCAAATCCAAGTGGCTTAATGGCTAACAATTAAAGTCCTTATGAGCTGATTTAGATAGATTTCAATTCGTAAGAACTTTCAATTGCTTGAAATTGTTCATTTTAATAAATCATATTTGAAAATATGCATTCAAATTTAAAATCCTAAAAGCCTGACACGGCTCAAATAATTAACCATTTTACGAAATATACAGAGATACATTTTATGAAACACACACATAAGCTATATTTATATATAAAATACAACTACACATTTTGCAGATAGATACAATTGCACAAGTACCGCTTGTATCTATCTGGTTGAAATCGTTTGTTTCGCATAACCAAAAGCATTTTATGCATTTTTATTGCCATTTATTCACAGCGCACAATTTGCAATTTATTTTTGCAATTTAACACGCCGCGCAATGCAGCCGGATAGGGCCAGCGGGCTGTTGCATAGGCAAAACACCAAAAGCAACAACAACAGCAACATCAAGAACAACAACAACAACGACAACATTTAACGCGCTCGGTGCGAGTTAACAACAACAAAAGTGCACAATAAATTGTAACTTAAAACGCCCAACAACAACGACAGCATCAGCAGCTCAGCAACAACTGCAGCAATTGTTACACACATACCACTGCATATACAATTACATTCATATTTATATATCCACTATAAATACAATGTTGCACACATATTTGCGTTGGCAATTAAACGTAAATAAACGTTTCAGGCACATTTGTGTTGCTGCCTGCCGCCACCGCGGCATCCTACTACCAAAGCCCATTAGAAAAATGCAAAAACAAATATGAGCAATATACAGAAATGTTTATTTCAAATGTGTGTGTATATTTCCTCGCGAAATCGAATTCACGGCTGCAAATATATCACAATTAGGTGTATTCCAATTGCAACCTTCATTTTTTATGAGCTTCACGCAACAGTTCAAAGCTATGAATGTCATAGGGCTTATTGAGATTAACTTGAACGGAAATCGATGCATATAACCTTAATTATGTTTTCTAAATGATATGAATTTAAGTTCTTTTAAATGTCTTTTAATCTAATAGCTGAAGCTTAAGCTTACGTGGCTTAAACTGCGACTGAAACTGTTATGCTGGATAATTTCTTGAGTAAAGCACATCACAACCTATTTACTTAGCCGGTACTAAAGATATAATATTATTTCAAACTCTTGGATATAGTAGTAGACTAATGTACATTCAACAAATCTTTAAATAACAATTGCAGAATGGAATTGCATCTTTTAACACTCACCAAATGCCGAGCCATTTAATAATAAGAAAACACGTCTATGTGTAATTACATTATCTTTTATTAGGTTTTTATTAATTTTCTTTTTAGGTATATAAGCATTTTATTGTGTATTTTAATTTTTTTCTTACTTTAAATGTAGGTTGCGATGTGTTTAGTACATTGAAGTAATAATTTAACTAGTTATTTGGTAATTGCTTGATATAATACTTACAAATGTGCATATGCCAGTTTCTTTGTAGCTTTGGCTTATACAGCGTACATTGAGATATTATGTAATTTCTTTTTAATATCATTGTTTATTTTTAAAATTGTATTTTTTTGGTTAGCCTGTTTATGGAAACCAACTGACAATTATTGTTACGATTATCAGACATAACTATGTGAGATTAACCTACATTTGACCAGCAATCAAAAGTTAAAGCAAAATAAAACCGCATTATTTTAAGCTGCAAAAACATATTGAATATATAATATTATATATACAGTCTAAAGTGCGAACAAATAAAGCGATAAACGGAAGCGATACATTTACAAGATACGGCTTATAAACTATTGAGCAAGAGGCATTTACAATGAGAACAGAGAGGGAGGAAAAGGAGAGACAGAGAGAGAGATAGATAGGAGCTATGACTTAGCTGTATAGTTAATGCCAAGCTGCAGAGATTAAGGTGCCCGCGTCCGCATCCTTAGATTGAGCTAGGCGAGCACCTATATAAGTAAGTATATATACAAAAGCTTTAGGAACAAACTATTCAAAACTTTACAGATTTTATCGATTATGTTGATGAGGCGCGGCGAGCCGTTCTCAATTTTTGGCCTTTGTGGTTAGCATTGAAACCAATTGATGTGCACTTAGCCACTGATCCTTTAGGCAAACTTTTCAATAGAAATTTACAATGCAACTGGGAGTGGGCGGCGTGGGCGGTGTGGGCGGCGTGCTTGGGGTAGGCGGCGCGGGCACTGACAACTGCTCAGTAGGAGTGCGCCTTGTGGATTATCGATTTCTCCACAGCAGCAGCCTGCATTGACGAGCCCTGACTTGCACCTTCGTTGCGTTCCAGGCAATTGTTGTTTTTTGTGCGCAGCTCAAAAGTGCTGGAAGGCGTCGGGGGCGCGGCAGATGGCGTTGAACGGACGTAAACATTTGCGGCTTGCTGCTCGGCGTCGAGGTCCTCATCGGCCTCAACATCGATGGCAGCATCGTCCTCGTCTATGTACGGCACGTGTTCCTGCTCACTTTCGGAGTCCGCTTCAATGGAGCAGCGTCTCAGCTGCAGCGCAGGTATTCGCGGCGGCATTGGCGGCGGCGGCTTCAGAAGCGTCATGGGCGCCGCCAGGCAGCCCACGTTCTATACCAGCGACGACAGCGGCGGCCGTGGTGGGCTGGTGTTGCGGGCAGCGGCCGCAGCATAATATTGCATGGGATGATGATGCGGCGGCGGTGGAGGCACAAAGCCAGCTGTGGTTCCATCGTGGTAGAGGACAGGCACACGCACCAAACGCTGTGCCGCATGCGCCATGTTGGCCATGTTGGCGGCTTCTAGCTCAGCGGCCAGCTGGCGCTTCCATTTGTTGCGACGATTTTGAAACCATATCTTAACCTGTGTCTCGGTCAGGCGTAGCGAGGCAGCCAGGCCGGCGCGCTCCGACGAGCTGAGATACCGCTTCAGATCGAATGTTGACTCCAGCTGAAATACCTGGGCGCGCGAGAAGACTGTGCGCGTCTTCTTTTTACGCTTGGAATTATTGCCGTCACCATGTGGCGAGGAACTGTCGGATGGGCCATCGGTGCCGTCGTCTTCCTCAATGATTTCTTCGCCCTCATCATCCGACTCGTTTGAACTGGTGGGCAGCATATAACCGCCGCTCCCATGAGAGCCCGACAGATGATGTCCATGATGCGAGAGACCGCCGGCGCTGCTGGTGGGCGTGCTGGGCTGATGTGGATGCTGTAAATGCTGCTGGGCAGCATGTGGATGCTGTTGCTGCTGCTGATAGAGCGGGTGATGTGAGCCGTGGAGCGATCCAGCCACACCGGGCGGTGGTGATTTGTTGGCGTGGCCATTGCCCGAGTTGTTGCTACTGGCATTGGCAGTATTGTTGTTGTCGTTATTATTGTTGTTGTTGTTTCCGCTGCTGGGGCTCAGGGATGTGGGTGATGGTGGATTTTCCGTAGTGTTTGTGGAGGAACTGTCTGCACAGAGAGAAAGATAGCGAGAGAGAGACAGAGAGCGCATGAGTGACAATGTTTGACAAAGAGAGAGAGAGAGAGAGAGAGAGAGAGCGGGAGCAGAGCAAGTTTTTATTATTTGATTTAACTGCCCGTGTGTGCGTGTGTATGTGTGTGCGGTGTTAGCGTATGTGCGTGTATAAGTGCTTGCGTCCGGGGGAGGTGGTCGCTCTTAGGGTTGTTTAAGATGTTATTGTAGCCCTGTATGTGCTGCTGCACAGATTTAAGCTGCAACACTTAACCTCACACTTGCCTTGGTCTTGTCTCTTCCTTTTATTTTTTGTTGCTTTTATACCCACAAACAAGTTAGAGCGCAGACGCGGAGAGTAATTGCCCTGCACCAACCCCCCAGCCTGTCCACAGAATATATATTTCTGTGTATGTGTCTGCGTGCGTTAAATTACCATTTAAAATGGCTGTCAGTCAGCTGAGCGATTCCACTTTTATTGAGCTTTTAGTTTGGGTCCTATTTGAAAAGTTTAAATTGCTGTAATTTGCTTCATATGGACTTTACGTGCTGCACATTGAGCTGCCCCCTCTCCCAGGTTTCAACATCAGGCCGCTTGCAGCTTGGGCTAAAGAACTATGCGCTGAATCGGTTAAATTCCAGAAGCCGTGCGTGGCGCAAAACTTAAGGCCAATTTACATGAGCAAATGCAATTGCAACGCCATCTAATACCAGAGGCGCAATCAAATGGGTCTTAATACTAGCTGACCAGAGAGGTGGCCGCTATTGCGAGAGCTCTCGCACTTAATACTCGACAAAGGCGAACATGTCAAACACTTTGTATATTCCCCTCAGTCGTAACTCGATACTCGATTACAAATTGCAATTAATTGAAAATGGCGATTACTGCAGTTGTATTTGTGAACGGCGGACGGTGAACGGTACATGTGTATTTGCCTGCCCATGCCATGGGGGCACTATTAAAGCCTCTCCGCGTGTGTATTTAAACAGTGTGTTGCCTGCTTCAGGGCGCACTTTGACTGCATTGCACAAATTCTTGCGGGCATTAGGCAAGTTTGAGCCGCCAACTATGCAAATTAAATGAAATGCTTTCAAGAATGTCTGGCGCGGCACATTCTTTGCTAAAGAATTTCAGATATTCGCATTTATTTCTTTAGACCTAAGCTAAATAGCGGTATCTTAGGCGTTAAGCGGCGAATGCAGGCAGTAAAAGCAACTGCGAAGGGAACGATTTAAAGCAGATATACACAGGTAAATATAGATGTACAGGTAATTATACAAATACATACGAATGTTCATTGGTTTTTGAACATCTAGTTGGCATACCATCATATTTTTAATTTAGTTTTTCCATTCTTTTGCTTGTCTGATTTATGGACACTTAATTTTCCATTTCACGAATATAAAATATTTCTTCTCTATATATATATAGGTATAAATATATCTCTCTATTCGGTTACGGTGGCTTAAACCCTAATCCTCGTGCTCCGTCTTCCGACGATCTGTAAATGAAATACTTTGGGCTTGCCAAAGAACACATGCATATTCGCATTGTAGTTAACAAAACCAACGAAAACTAATTTGTCTAATAATAAAAACGAATTAAATAAATACAAATATTGATAATTGCTACCGAATCTAACCCGCCAGCCTCTTGCTTGCTAGCCCGAGGCTCAAGCACCTAAGCTAAACAGGCTTATGACGTCAAGTTAGCAAAGCTCAATTGACTAACTGTTTTTGATGTTTTTAATAGGTTAAACTCTCTAAAAACCCTATATTACTGCTCGCCCTCGACCCAAAAGGAAATATTAACTTTGTAGCTCATACAGGATGTGCATTAGAGTCAGTCTGTCAGCAAAAACTCTTGTTTATCTATTGGTGTATATATTTATTATGGCCAAGTTATTGAAAACGATTGATTATATGTACTTAAAATGAACTTACCATGGGTTGGACTATGGAAGGGCATTCGCTGTGGTGCCCAGGGCCAGCCAGGTGGACACAAAGCTGCATAGCGTCCAGCTAGAGCGCCCCATTGCGAGATGAAACCCAATCTGGAAAGCAGCAAATGAAGAGAAACATTAAGTAAATTTCCATAAATGATGCAGCTTTATAATTGCTGAAATTGTAGATGTTCGGTATCAAGATGAGAGAATATAAACCGTTAACTTGAACATTTAATTTATACAGACAGATATATGTAGTCAGTCCAATGCCGACGGGCAAACATTGCTCGACATAACAAGAAAAATCAACGCTACAAAAAACTCTTAGAAAGAGCGACCCTTAAATGCTAAGCAACCCCACACCAGAAGATGGGCATAACTGACAACAGCTGCTGCGAATTTTGCTCCCCCAGAAAGCACATACACACACATCGCCTCACACATATATATATTTAATACATATAATATAAAGATGTATGTATATGAATGCCGGCGTCCATGTAACCTTATTAGGTTGCTTGCTTAAAAGCATCTTTATAAATACATTTATTTATTTATGTTAGACGCGGCAAAGTTTGCAAGACGAAACACTTTTTTGGCGTTTACGTTATAATGTGTTGCACATGCGTACGTGTGTGTGTGTGATTCTGTGTGTGAGTTTGTGTGTGTGAGTTTGTGTGTGTTGGTTTGGGGTGGTTTTGGTGGCGCTGCCGTGGGGTTTATTGTGCTAAATCAAAGTTTTCAAGTCAAATCATTTAGGCAGAAGCTAATGCGAGAGGTAATTGGAGGAAAGCAGCTTTTGTTTTGTGAGGGTAGCACAGCGCGGGTAGCGGTCGGTAAAGAGGGGTTGGGGGGTTATTGCCTGTTTGTGGCACTTAAAAGCTTTTCGTAACCAACGCACAGCCAGCCACCACTCAAGCAGTCCGTCTCGGCAATTTGATTGATTTATTGATATGTTTAAAAGTCTCTCCGGTGTTCTTAAGCTTCCCACGCACTCAATGAACTTTGCTGTTTAACAATGCGCCCGGGACAAGCCACAGCCACAGCCAGAGCCAGTGCATTCCCACCAGTCTAAAATACCAATGGCGGCCACATCGAACCCATGGGCAGCCGCCCCCTTAGCTAGCTCCGACGCTTTGGTAGCTGTTTTTGCTTCGTTGCTTTTCGTATTGTTTTTATACTTGTTAAACCCTTTGACCGTTTTGCAAGTGACCCGTGTGCAAGCAGCAGACTGTGATTTCTTTTCGACCCCAACCAGCCCCCAAATGCTGCCCAGCCACCCCCCGACAGACAATGAGCTGGCCAAGTTGTGTGTGACATTAACATTTAGCTGACCTCTTTCACAGCGGCCAAGGTGCAGGTGTGGAAATCAATAGTTGCCAAGCTCTTTCACTTACTAAACCTCTTTCTATCTCACTCGCTCACTCGCTCACTCTCTCCCTTTCTCTCACTCTCTCTTTTTCTTTATCTCTGTCTCTCTCCTGCTGTCTTCTTTCTCCCTGTTACGGTTTGTAAGTAATGTATTTTCAATTAAATTTACCTTTTGCCTGTGCCCGCTGCTAAATTATGAACCACTCCTTCTACAAGAGACGCTTCAAAGGTTTCCCAAACTGGCTAACTGGCTACTTGGCTACTTGGCTGCTTGGCAAACTGGCGGCTCAAATCACTTCTAATGGGCTTCATGTTTACAACGTCAATTGAGAGAAAGCCGCTTTTGCTTACGGCCAAAAGATGACGCCCTAGCAGCTCCTCAAATTACAGCCAGACTGCAAAAACGAAAAACGCAAACCAAAAAAAAACAAGAAAAGAAATTACCTCAATTACTGCGCTAATTTTGGTTGCTGAAAGCTGTCAACGGAAGGGGCCCCAATGAATTGCAAACAGCTTGTAGCTATTTGCTTTACTAATTATCCAAATCAAAGGCTCGGCCCGAGTCCGAGGCATTTGTTTTCCGCCCAGCAATGAAATAAATACAACTTTCCATTGCCGGCGGCGACCACAGTCCGCGCGGCTCCGTCTACATTTTCATTGGTGTCACTTTGTGGCGGAAGTGGATGACCATGTTTAAAATTCAGCAGTGTGGGCGTGCCGCCCCTGAAGCTGTCAGAAGTCAACGTGGAGCAATCCGGTCACCCCGAAACCCCCAGAAATGGCCGATGCCTCTCCGAGCTCAACTTGATGCATGGCTGTTATTTCTCGTTTAATGAATTGTTTGCGGTTCTCGCTTTGGGCTTCTTCCTCGTCGCTGTCATAATTCTTCTTGGGGGTCTTTTGTGCTAGGATAAAAGTGTGCTATGCGATTGAGTTGTTCAACATGGCATTCTACATGGGTTCTACGCTTCGTTTGGCCATTTCAGTGGAAGCTGATCTTAGTGGTTTGGGCCTAAAAGAGCTTTGATGTTTTGCTTCGGTAGACACGGGTAGATTGCCGAAAACCATATTTCAGACAATGAGTATAAAAACTTGAAGCGGAAAAAGGTCACCTTCGAAGAGTTTCTAAGTTTTCTTCAATCATTTTATGCAGCAAATACTAATTGTCTTAAAAGTGTAAAGTATAGTATATCATTAAAATAATATTATTATTAATATTTTAATGGTCATTGTTTCTGGTAGAATGGTAAATGATACAAATGATGTAAATTCGCTTAAGAAACCAAAACGGAATTCTATAAGTTACGTAAGATATTAAACTAGGTTAAATATAATCATTTTACTGTTGTTAATTAAGCAGCCCACTTTTATTGGGGCTAATCTTCATATATTTTTAAATATGTGAGAAGCTTTACCTGAAGCCATTTTAATATTATAAATGCAAAATTGCGCTCGAGCTGCTAGTATTACAATAAAATTATTTCAATAGAATCATAAGTTCATTATTTTCTTAGTTAATGCGACTGAAGGCAACTATTCAATTGCTTTATGAGCTTAACTTCTTGAAGTGCCCGCAGATTTCAATACTTTAATGCTTATTCAGAAGAAAATGCAAGCCAACAGCTGCCTCAACCAGGCCGCAGAAGCCACTTAAGTGAGAATCATATCATATGCAAAGCGACAATTGTCGCACGAATTACCAAAATTAATTTAAATAATAAATTTAAATGTAATGTTAACAATGAGTCCGGCCTGAGCACAAATGGCTGGCAGGCCTAAACCGCTTAGAGTTCGTTCATGCATGAAAGATTTGCACACGCTAATTGGCTGCATGGAGGCCCGAGATCAGAAAATATGCATTGCCTAACCACATTATATTTGGTATACTATGGGACATTTTGAACGGGTGTCGAACGGTGCGGGCATTGAGACGCACTCGAAACGACCGCAAAGTAACCAAAATATTGAACAGCAGCTCACAGTTGACTAAACAGGAGTTCACGGCGCAGTAGCTAGCCCGGTTGGCTTGCTTTTGTCATTAAACGGGATTAGCATGAAAATATTGGTCTATATGTACAATAATATTCGATGGCATGGAGCGGCTTAGGCTAAGTCGTCCACTTGAAAAATGGTGACATTTGCGACGCGCACAAAATGAGTTTTTCGGTTGCGCCACAGGAAGTCGCACAAATGACACGCGCCCAGGCCTCCAAAAGCGAAACCAAAGTCAAGCCTCAAATCTAGATATGAAATCAGTGCATGATGCACTACAAATATGGTTTCATTAAATGGAAACATTGTATGCCCAACGTTATCTAGATATAAATGTCACCAATCGCAGACCATTTCACCACTAAATGCCGCATCAAAATAATCCCTTTGTGATAGATAAGATTTGTTCGGACCGGGCGCATTGCGTTGGGACTGAAATTGGATTGTAATTACTGCAGTATATAATTATATTGTCAGTACGTCCTTTAGCGTTATCCTTACAACAAAAAAAAAAGAGAGCTGCACAATAGACATACACAGACATTTCCTGGACTCGGCACCCTTTCCGTTAGCCGAGTTGGTCCTTTGTTGGGCGCACTCACAACCATATCAGGTTACAGTTACAGCGCTTAACTGCGTTCTTTGCTGCGTTATAATTAAACCGCAGTTGAAGAGCAGACAGCAGCAGCAGCAGAACTTCAACAGTAGCTGACCACTAATTAAAAAACGCAATACCAATGTCAAAATACTCGTGTGTGGATAAAGAACAACAAAAAAATGTATGGCCCAGGTGAAAGTCAGTCAACATATTTACGTATGCGTATTTGTATTAAACGATCACTCAGCGTTTTGAGTGCGCTTGAATTAATCATTCGACGGACTAACTCCGAGCTCGATGATCAAGTGATAAGCCCGTCACATAGGCAGCCACACGTCAACACTTGGTCAAAAGGCGAGGGCGATCCTCGCCCTTAATTGGGGTAACCAGCACGCGACCCTCGCTAAGGGAATGCGACTGGGACGCGCTTATCGCAGGATCGATCGGTGAGCGCATGCGTAAATGAAATGAAAATGATCATTATTAAAAAACACAGACAGGAAAGCCAAAAAAAAAAAAAAAACGAAGAGAATAATGAGGAGAACTGTCCACTTTCCATGTGTCCGACAATAAGTCGGGTAGTCTCGCTCATAAAATAAAAGTGCAACATTTTTTTAATTCAACACATGCCTTAATCGAGCAATTCGAAATTCGATCTCTCGGCTCATGTCCTTTTTATGCGCATTTAAATGCCGGCTAAGTGGGGTTACCAGGGCCCCGTTTTCTCGTTTTTGTTGAACTTATTGATGAGCTGCATTGCAATATGTAGGAGGCCCTCAATGACTGTCCATGTCCGTACATATGTAAATACACTCACACACACACACACACGCACATGTATGTAGGTCAGTCAGTTCAGTGAGGGTTCATTCATTCATTCAAAACAAAATTGTATTCATAAATGTTGCATGCCGGACTATTGTCAGACGGTTATGAAATAGCATTGAATTACATTTGCAAATGTTGTGAAATTTGATATATTTGATAAATTACATGGCCAAGTTAAAGTAATCGATATCGATTTGTTAACATATCGAATATTTGACCAGTGGTCAGCCTGAAGGAACATTTGCATCAATTCGAAATTTCATATGGCTTATCAATTATAAACAAAAACCAAAACAAAAGCGTAATCAAACTTTTTCCAGTAACCATAAGACTTGGGGAAAGCATATTAATATGAACCCAAGTAGTTGGTAGTTTATAAAGCCAAACTAAAGCTGCAAATATGCAGATAAAACACCGATATTTGGTGAATTAAAATGTTGCGCTTTTAGTTAAATTTTGCATAAATTTCTTAGCGAACCTTAAAGAATAATAAGTGTAAATATTATTATAAGCTAGGATATACAACTATCAACCCAAGTTTTCTTAGAAGAACTAGCCTAAATGAATAGGACACTTAAACAACTGATCTGCAAAGGATGCAGTTAAAACAAACCTGGAATTGTTGGAAGAATCATAAAAAGCAAGCTTGAAGAAAATATAGGTACAGATCCAAAATTGATTGCGTATATAAATGAATATTAAGAGAGAGTCCTTTAATTCCTTCAACTCACTTTACGCACAGACAAGAGCCCACTTAGGAAATCTCATTTGTATCCACTTTAAATTTTCAAATTGGAAGTATAACTAAAAACGCAGTTATACCCTCATTATCGCCAGCTAGACATCTTTGCACCCACTTAGGGTGTCCTATGACATTTGCCGTACAATCTTACAGACTTTCCATTGAGATGTTATCTTGACAATCAGCTAAAACAACTTGTTAGACGATGCTCTACAAGATTCGTGTGTTTTTCCATCGAACAGATTTGCGTCACCTACAAACATCTCGTACCCAACGCCATTGTTTTCCATTTTACATTGAGTACCTCAAGGATTACACAAAATTTGCTCAATATTTCAAGGAGCTGGGAATCTGGACTAAATCAGTTGAAATTGTAGCCGCTTAGGCTCATTGAAAAATAAGGGAACGCTTGACTTTTTGGTTTCACGTTCGGTTGCAAAACAAAGAGCAAGGCTCTTGAACCTTAAGCCGGGTCTAAAAACAGCTCTGCAAGGTGCACCTAAGTAGCTGCCGGGCAGCCCATTGTTTGTGGGCAAGAATATCAACAGAAGACTCACCTGGAGAGCATGGCCGCATCCTGTGGTCCGCCTGCGCCGTGCTGCGGCAACTGCGGAATGGGCGTTATCAACGCTGTGGTGCCGTTCTTTTTCGCCGGCTCGCTGCGACTCAGTATGCTGGAGATGGAGAAGCTGGTGAAGCCGTTGGAGCCGGTTGTGGCTTTATTGCCATTGCTGCTCGCGTTGCTGTCGTTGCTGTTGGCCCCAACGGAAGCTGCTGCCGCCACCGCGGCACATGTGCTGTTGTGATTCACCGTCTTGCTGTTGTTGTTGTTCAGGCTGTGGCCAAGCTCTTCGCTAGCACTGCCATTGCGCTCCAGCTCAGGTGACTTGGGCGCCATGGCAGCCAGAGCGGGCGGCGAGCCCAAACGATCGCCAAGATGTGTCGGCGCCACAGCATGCTGCAACAGAGCGGGATGCGGTGCCGCATGAGCCGGATGCAGATGGCCGAAACTGTGCAGCGCGTGATGCAGGGCCACGGGATGGCCACTGAGCGAACTGAGATGATGCTGTAGATGATGATGCAAAACCGCCGGCGGCACAGCTCCATTAGGGCTATGGTGATAATGCTGTACGGCTACAGCTGATGTTGATGTTGGCGTGCCGGCGGCAGTATTTGGCGTGGACCGATGCGTTGGCGTGGCTGGTGGCGAGCTTCCATCAACGGAGCGCGCCATGGGGCTGTCGCGGCCGTTGCTCATGCCGGCGGCACCCAACGGACTCGGCTCCGGACTGGACACCACACTTATATCAACTTCAGCCTCGGACGAAGACATTTCATACACGCACAAAACTCTTTGTTTCACTTTATTTGCAAGTATTCTCAATGGGTTCACAATGTTTCAAATGTTTCGTTTACGATTTCGATTTCTGTCACTCGACTTGGCACTTGCCTCACTGGCCTTGAGGTAAACACTGAATACAACTGTTGACGAGCATCTAGCGATGGAAATAAAGTTCCTCAGGTGGCGACCGGGACGTCTGCACCGTTTGATCAACGATTCGCATTTAAATTCAAATGTTTTCGGTTAACAGGCGCAAAGTCCTCGGCGCGCCTGCCAGCCCGCCTGCCTATTTCTCTCTCTTGTACTCGCTTTGACTCTCTCCCTCACTCACTCTCTGGCTGTACGTATGTGTGTGTGTGTGTGAAAGCGATCGTTTAGTAATTTTATTGTTAAAGTCTTTTGGATTTGTAACCCCCGGTTGTTGTGTCAGAGAGCGTGTGCGCCGACTGCCTGCTGCGGCGCTCGACTGAAACTGAAACATGAAATGTGCTAAACATAACTGAGCTCAACTCGGATGGTTGGTTGGTTGTCGGCTGTGAAATTCTTTTGGTCTTTGCGCTAAATGGTTTTCCACACACACACACACAAAGTAAGAGGGTGATGCAGTGATAGCTGCTCTACTACGGGAGGGTGTTTGTATGCATGCGTGTGTGTGTGTGTGTGTGTGTGTGTGCTGAGTTGAGTCTCTGCTTTTGCAGTCTCTTTTATCATGCGCGCTCTTTCTGGCAGGGGTGGCTCGCTCAGCGCAGCTCAGTTCTTTTGCCCAGCCTGTTCCCATTGCCATTTCATTTGCAGTTGAGTTTCAGTTCGTTTATTTCGACAATTGCGCTGAAACCGCATCGACATACGCCAAGGTGTATGTTCTATTTTTTGTCTGTCGTCGTCACTAAATTGTGACAATAAAACTATAGAAAAAAAACCCGAGAAGCAAGTCTCGAATCTGAGCCTGAAACACTTGGCAAGCGAAACACGTCAGAGTGGGAGAGCGCTTAGCCTTCGTGCGTGCATGTGTGAGTTTGTATTTGTGTTGGGCTCCCATTGAAATGCCAATATAAAATCAATCAATTGGCACCCGGCAAGGGTCAAGTGCTGCTCTGTGTGCAGTGCTATTGCTCCAAAGTGTGCAAAACATCTTAATTGATGGCAGTTGAAAGGTTCCTTTCGGGTGAAGTAAGCTGCGTATTAGAAAAGGCTTACACTTAACGCTATTGGGGCCACAAATAGCTCTCTGTAAATAATATTGTATCAATGGAGTTATCCTTACAGTAGAACTATCATTTTTATTTCAAATTTACACGTGCGTATGTTAACTATAATATTATTTGTATGGCTATTAATAAGTAAATAAAGATGAATCACAGCTTATTATCCCACATAATATCTTTCAATCGCATGTGAAGCTTTAAGCTAATGAAGTCCTTTGATTAACTATTATAATATTTGTTGTTTTAAAAATTAGATTTACATATGGCATATATTATATTCTTATGCAAAACGTCAACTCTTTGACTCTATTCATCAAATCACAGCTCATTCATGTTCCATTCCACAACGTTCCTCTGAGTCGAACAACCCCAACGCACTCAGAGGCAGCCATTTTAACAAAAGCTGAGCAAACTTTGCAGACATCGCGAGCAAGCGGAAGTTAGAGCGAGAAGGATAAAGCGAAAGAGATAGAGAGAAAGAGAGCGCGCAGCAAATTGAATTTTTAAATGCTTTCAACTGAGACGACCACCAGGCATTCAAAAAGTGTTGCAAGCAATTTGCACAAAACAAAAAAGCGTTATGCGAGGCAATTGCACACAGCGAACTGGAGAGAGAGACAGAGCAACAGAAAGAAAGAGACAGGGCATGAGAGAGTGCAGAGCAATGCTCAATGCGGCAGCATGTGCGTGCTGAGAGTGGGCGTGTCGCTGGCAAACCAATGGGAATCATTCGGCGGCCACCACTGACACTCAGCTGACACCGCCGGCAAATAACCAAAAACATTTGCTACCGAGACGGCAACGGCGGCACAGAAAAATGCGTAGAAATTCATGCGCAATTACATTTATCCTGTTTAGAAGATTGCTTTGCCAAAGTGCGTCTCCAAGTGCTGCCAGCCACCGCAGACTTTGGCGCCTGCTCCCCTCTCCAACATTTACATAATACATACATACATACACACCCATGGAACTGGTTGTGTGTGTGTGTGTGTGTGCGCGCGCGGGGGTGTTGGGGCTGAGAATTCCAACTGCCGGCATTGCAGCGTAACACATTTTTATGTAATTTCCCTCTGCGCTTTGCTTGTTTTTGATTCGTTTTCATGTTAGATTTTGCAATGAGAGCAGCCCATGGAGAACCAGCCCGAAACGATTCCAGAGAGTACGGCAGCGACGTTTAGTTCAAAAGGTGTTGACACTTAGGCGCTGCCCCACTTTAATTTTGACTGAATGCACAAATGGAAATCGCGTTACTTGTGTTAGAGGGCGACGGGATGGCTGGGCCTGGGCAGAGGGCGTCACTCGGCGTTTTGTCAATGACATTTTTGGGCGTACCCAAACCCCACCTGCATCATATGTGTACGTTTGTGTGTGTGCAGGTGTGTTTGTAAAACAATTTCATTTTGAAATCTTGTTGACGATGCGATTTGATTGTAGTGTTTGTTGGGGCTGCCATTATTTTCAAGCATTAATTAGGCAAATTGACATTGGAAAGTCAAAAGGGTGCTAAACCAAAATTCAATGGATGCGGCAACAAAATGAATATCCAAGTTCTAAATAGGGGCTGATAACGAAAACACTCTGTTTAAACAAACCCAGAGATAGTTATTACTAACAGTCTAAAATAGCCAACCCTAAATTTTAACTTGGGCCCTTACTGCTGGCGCTGGCCTGACCAAGCATATTAAGCTCAATCCCTGACCGCTGACCAGCGGGCAAAGGCAAGCCACAAAAATTCCAAAAGCAACGACCGAAGCTCTTTTACTTGGAACATTTAAAAGAAATAACAAACTGTTCAACTGTCGGACAAAACGATTCTACAACAAATTGCACTGCAATAAAAGATTATATATATATATATATATATATATATATATTGTGTGTGTGTTTGCGAGTGTCTGCGAGCGAGTGAGACAGCGCAAGCTGTGTTAGACCGAAAGCGCCAAGTGAAACCAAAGCCAAAGTCAAAAGCAATGCAGACAAGCTTCGGAGCTTTTCGATGTATCTGTGCTTGCGTATTTCTATGTGGGTATATATGTAAGTATGTGTGTGTGTGTGTGTGTGTGTGTAAGGGTAAACAAGAAAAACAACTCTTAATTGACATACGAGCAAAGTGGGAGTTGCAATTTTCATTGACTCCACTTTAGCTGGCAGTTGGGCGCCTAAAAGTCGACCACAGCGCAGTGCAGAGAGCCGAGACTGACTTTGGTTGGCTGTTAGCAGATGGGACGAGCGTAGGGCGAGCAAGGATTTGCATGGCTATGCTAGATACTCTGGTCAGGTTCAGACACTTTTGATCGGCCCCCCTCAAATCAACTCGTTCGCTTGTATGCGTCTCTAAGTACATTCCATGCACACATACTGGCAGTGCCTATACGTACACACACACACACACGTACATACATGCATGCATTTGCCCAAGGCTTGCCAAGTTTGCTCGACTTAACGGCAATTAATTTGGCAATTGACGCTGCTCAATATATATACACAGAGAAGTGGGCATAATAACATAAATACAAGAGTATTTTTGGACGGAAGTTTTTGCGGCTCCTCTGTGGCATGTCCAATCGGACGCTCCATTTCGTTATCGGACACATTAGGCAAATGGCTACGGCTTTTGTTTGCTATTAACATTTGTATAATAGGCGAAGACCATGCTAAACAATAAACTGCATGGAATGGCAATGGCATGGCTAAAAGCAAATGGAGTTGTAGTCCCTTCATCCTTCGCTTACGTCTATTTTGGATATTAGGCTGCTAAACTTGTGACGCGCATTCTGGGCTTGGCTTTTGTCTTCATTCAAATGCAAACAATGGCTGACTAAAATATACGTAACTCTCCTCCTTCCCACACACATAGCATAGGTAACAGAAAGAGCGCATAAGGTATATACATATATATATATATATGTATATGCATACATTTACGAACACACGCAAAACACAGGCAACCCCTCTCGCTGCGCTCATAAATAACGCTTTAGACTTTGATTTAAATAAATTGTATTACGAACGCTAATATTTTATCATTTCAACAGTTTCGCGTGGCCCGCGATTCGATTCGATTTTCTTGCGCGTTTTACCAATGATTCCTTTTAAGGGCAGGACAACGACATCTTTCCTGATTGAGTGCCATTTCGGACGCATAAATTTTATGCCAAATAAATGTTGCAAGTCGTTAAATTGCTTTTCGGCAACAGACGACAAAATGTAGACACAGCTTTGACCCCATTTATTGTCTGGACTGCAAGATGTTAATGTTTAAAGACATAAATTAAAAACTATAAAAACTTTACACAAAACTAAAACGAACATATTGATATATTTTGTTTGTTAAAAAAAACAATGTTTTTTTTTTATTCTTATAAAATTTTAAATATTTTAAATGAATATTACGAAAATTGTGGTACTTCATTTATTCAGCATACCAATGTGAAACTGAATAGGTTTGAAGCCAACTGCAAATTTTGGTCGGTAAACGTTTGAAATAAAATCGAATAAAATGGAACATTTTAAAACAATTATTGTATATTAGTACAATAATAGGGTCAAAATCGACGGACAGCCTACGAATTGTCGGTCGCCAATAAAGGTACAACAATATAAAATTACCAATTTGTAATAACCACAAAGCAAAAGCGGCAGAGGAGAGGGGCAGCAACAGCAGCGGGAGTAGAAGAGTCGCATCAGAAAATCAATTCAAACAATGCGGACCAAAGGGATGCGCAAATGGCCACAGATTGTTGAGCGAATTGAATCCTGTTTGTTAAAAAATCAATGGGAGAGTTTGAAATATAAAATGTGTGAAAATATATTTTAAAAAAGTGAGGTGGGCCCATATAATACGATACGTCTGTGTACCTAGCGCAGCGTTATATAATTAACAGTTAAGTAATTCGAAATTATTTCTGTATAACACAATGCTTACATAAACATGTATTACAAAATGTAGAGTAATTAAAAACTTCTCACTTTATATTTTACTAGCGGGTATTCCCCGTCCTTGCTCGTGGCAAGTTTTGTTCTGAAAATTTTTGGCATAAGGATTTGATTAACCTTTTACTCACGTTTTTTATCGAAGAGCGGTGAAAAAAACTTATCAGCCACGAACAAAACTTAAAACTTCCCCCGAAAAATCGGGAAATTTCAACCTATGTCCATATAGGATATTTGAGGGTATCATTTTTACATGAATTTCGGCCACAAATAATGTTGATTTAGATTTAGATGCCAAATAGATCTAG